GGTCCAGTAGTTTACAATTTGCTTGCTCTGACTCACTAAAATTTGGTAGAGTGAGACAAAAAACACTGTAAAAGTGTGTGTAAACTTCCCCCTCCTGTATTTTTGTGCACAAATGTGTGTTCCATCAATGGATCTAATCTCAGAAAGTATACGGAGTAACGTCATCCTTCTATCAGACCACCTGATCTCGTACGTAAGGTTTAGCAAACTTTTATCTTATAATTAGCATCAGCTTGATCAGCGAGTCAGCATGATATTTTGATTTTCTCCTACACTTTACTTAGAGGTTTGCTCAAGTTGGATGAGGAGCATCTGTGAACATCTGTCATTCCATATATTTTCAGTGGGATTCCAATTCTGGGTTTTGGCAGTACCACTCAAACACTTTAATGTGCTTGTTTTGAAGTTATTCCAGTTTTCATTTGGCTGTATTATGATCATTTCGCTGGTGGAACAGAGGTCTTTGATCTTTTGCTCTCTAAAGCAGATTCTTCTCAAGAATATTGTATTTAGTTTCGTTCATTGTTCCTTACATCCTTACATCCTCGGGACTGAAAGACAAAGTCAGCCTTGCTTTACAATAGGAATGGTGTTAGATGGGTGAGGAGCTGTACCCAGTTTCCGCTGGATGTAGTGCTTTACTTTTAAGGCCAAGTAGTTCAATTTTAAAAGGGTTCTTTTGCTTTCACGCCAGCAGTCATTCATATACCTTGTTACAACTTCTTAGCATGCTGACTGTGGTTGTTTTCACACATGCACAGACAAGGAAAACTTAATGTTTCAATCCATGATCGTTATTGCATGTTATACCCCTGTCTTTAGCCTAGCTTTATCTCCCACAGTGAGCTTTTGAAGAGGCTTAAATCCTAATTACGTCTGCCAAAGAGTTTATTTTTTGTTTGTCACTTAGCAGCATATATATAGCTACTTCGATGAATGTAATGAAAGTGCTGTACAAAGGTTGAAATGAACAATGTGTAAATTTGGTGTTTTTTGACTGGACTCTGTTGCGCTTTCAACAAGATGTCTCTGTCTGTCTTTTCCAGGCTGTGGACCAGCTCAAAGCTGGGGCTCTTGCAGTGGAAGCAGTGGCTGCAGCACTGGTTGAACTTGAGGTTGGTTGATTATGATCCAAGTTTGATTGTATAAAATCAACCTCTATTACCTCAGTTTTTAAAAACACCCCTAATACATAATGTAGAAGAAAATTATCGCCTCGATTAGATAAAAACAAAAAAAAAAACAAAAAAAAAAACTTTCAGTGAGGATAAGAAACTTAATTTGACATGTGTATGTGTTTATCCAAAACAGCTTTATTCTGCTCCAGCCTCTGATGTATGTACGTACATCCTGTTGGATGATGTAAGGGGTGATTTTCCTCAGGGCAGGGTTTAAATAAAGAACAAGGTTTCTGATGAACTCTCCGCAGCTGCAGAATGTACCGAGAGGTGCAGTTCAGCAAGCACCTGTGTTTTTTTTTAGAAAATGCATATGTTGTATAAATAAACACAAGTAACAGTAAGTTATTCTCACTATTAACCCTTATATACATGGATTGAATGTAGAAAGTAATCATTTGTTTATTAATAAAAAAAAACCTGCTCAAGCATAATGCATAGCACAAGATGTTCGACATACAAAGAAACAAACTCCCGTATATTAAGTAGGAAATTAGCTAAAGCCAGCAACTAACAAAAAAACTAATAATTATTAAAGACTTTTGTCTTGATACTTAAGTCTGTGTTAAATATTTCTTACTTGTTGCCGACTTATTTGTCAGTAATTCATACTGGCTGTGACACATAAAAGGATGGGCATACCATTTGTACTTGTAAGTTTAAATATGACCAAATTATTTGGAATATTCATCCGAATCTGCCTACAGCCCACAACTAAATGGGCAAAGTCCCTAAAGAAGAAGGTGATTTAATACAAAAACCCAGAATGAAAACACTTAATGAGGCTTAAAAAAGAAAAATGAGGCATCCTAAGATGGTATCAAAGAACAGATGAGCATTAGTTGAACATGTGTTTCAGGGTCTGATTGTATGGTGTTGCTAGTTCACCAGCTGCACTTTTTGTTGTTATGTTGTAAAGATGTTTTATTGTCTTGCCTTAAACCTCATACTGATTTTCAATTGGTGATAATAGTGGTTTTCCTTTAATAAAGCTGTTTTAAAGTATTTAACAAATTCATCAAGTACATCCAGCATGGCCATTATTAATGTTGCTAATTTAGAAATATAGAATTACCATACATATTGACTCTTTTCTTGTAATATTGCCATTACAGTAGGGCTTGGGAGCAGAAGAAAGACCTTTTTGTCTTGGTTAAGCTATATAAAAAAATTTTTTTAGCATTGACAATTTAGTTAATTGCAAATATAGTTTTATTCTAGACTCTGCATGTTTTTAACTGTTCTCAGGACTCTCCTTTTACAAACGCGGGCATGGGCTCCAACCTTAATTTGTCAGGCGAAATTGAATGTGATGCGAGTATCATGGATGGGAAGTCGCTGCATTATGGCGCCGTAGGGGCTATAAGTGGTGAGTTACTACACATTCATATAATACTACTGTGTTGTTGTCGCACTGAAGTTTAGTCACCTGGTAGTAAAGACAATGAGTCCTGCCTGTACTTTCTATCATCTTAGAGTTTTTTGTACTGGAGGGAATTGGCATAATAAATCCTTACAATGGGGGACCACCCACTTTTTACCTGGAGAACAACCAAGAAATGCTGTAGGTACACATCAGCATACTCGCACAGAGTTTTCCTAAAAGGCTCTCGAGAACAGCATTTCTTTTTTTTTTTTTTTAAACTCATGAATTATTCCAAACAACAACCCAGGGATGAAAGCTGGCACTTTTAGTCCAAAAGACAACATATTGTTTTTATTATGTCTGCATCGTATAACAGTTAGCCATATAATTTGTACATGATGAATGAAACTTTTTTGGCTTCGATATAAAATGTGTACCTGCCAACATGTGTTTTTCATGAGGTCTCAGAATTCAGTAAGGTGTTTAAATAGGCTAAAAAAAACCAGCATTCCTAGGTGTGCTTGTGTAACAATGGGAAAAGAAAGAAAATGTGCAATACTACACAGAAAATGCAATGAATACATGAAAATGAAACATAATGAATGTTAACAATACACAGAAAGTCAACACATATATTTTAAAAACCAAACCATATTCACCTGTACTACAAAATTTGACATGCAGAGAAAAGATTAGATTTGATCTTTTCGATTTGAACTCTTCTATTTCTCTTATTCAGAATCCATTATCCTGGCCATATTGATCTGACTAAAGGATAACTGTGTGTGGTTGCTAAAATTAATATCTTGATTTGTTTTCACTTTAATACAGTCACATGAAATGAACTGCTAGCTCTGTGATAATTCTGACCTTTCCTTCAGGTATTAAGAACCCAGTCTTAGTTGCAAATCGTCTACTGAATGAAGCACAGAAAGGGAAACTATCAGCTGGCAGAATACCCCCCTGGTGATTATAATGGTTATTAATTAACGGTGTATTAATGTGACCATTCACTTTTATGAATATCAATTTCTTTTTTTTTTTGTCAGCTTTTTAGTGGGGCGAGGAGCACATGATTGGGCAGTCAGCCATGGAATACCACCATGCCCTTCAGAGAAAATGGCCACCAGTGAGTTTTGGTTGCACTGATTCAGAAATACGCCTTTTCTGAGTTAATTTTCTGTAGCTTCAAAACTGAACCGAAACACAGATTTGCATCAGTTCATTTGGATGCATTAGACTGAGATTATTTTTTCACACACAGAGTTCAGTTTATCTGCGTACAAGAGGAACAAGCGAAAGATGGAGCTGGCAGAAAAAATGGACACAGGACATAATCAGGCAAAGAAAAGACGACAATCAAGTGAAAATGTGAGTATGATATATAATGTTGTTAATTAAAACGTGATAAATTCATCAAGCTTACTCTTTCTCAGCTGCATTAGTCAGAATGGACCCAACTCTTCCTGATAGTTTTGTAGTAGTATTCCTAACAGCTGAACTAAATGTTCTGCACTAGTGGTCAGCAAATAACAGCCTATGGTGCCAAATCTGGCCTTCCACCAAAATCTTTATCTATTCAATTGAAGTCCGAAGCTTTCCCCAATTGTGTTACACCAAAACATTAGAAATGTTTCAGAAATCTATTGTTAATAAAACAATAAAAACAAGCTGACAAGTACTCGACTGTGATCTAATAATCAATACCGTACGTTCTGGAGAGCAAAAAGATACTGTGCCTGCATGTGGTACTAAAATAAGGTCTAACTTAAAAAATAAATCTACTTTAGAGATTTATCAACAAATAGTAATTTTGGTATCTCAAAAACAAATGACAAGATTGTATTTTTTTCATTTTTCTCAGATATTAGATTATTTGAAAGAGGTTACAAATACGCTAATAAAGGCCTACAGAAAACACATGCAGCAGTAGAAAGGGACAGAACAAACAGTGCAGTAAAGATAATATAGTGAGGATAGTGTCCTCAGACTCAGACTTACATAAGACCTACAAAGGTAAGAGGGGACAACAGTAGTAACATCAATGTGGCTACATCACTTGATCTACTGAGGATATTATTAGTGATTAAATTAGTGGTCCTGTTGTCACTTTCAGAATTTTAAACAAGGCAGGAAACATCAAGTAGAATATGAAATGTTATACAAGAAAGGAAACTCTCCGCAGCTAAGACATCAGGATATATTCTGCCAGTTATGATCTCACATTGCCATCAAAGTAAATGGCATTACCAGGTTCTGCAGCAGGTTCCAAGAAATGATTAAAGTGTTGACATTGAGTTGGTGCAAAGTTTCAGGGCCGTGAGCAAGCACAACCGGAGAGTGCCTGATGATGAGCTGAGTTGAAAGCAGTTGAGAGCACACTATGCTCTAAAGTCGCTAGCAGCAGCACAGAAGAGGGTGGGAGACTTCATCTTGGTTCAGATGTGAATTGTGTTAAATGGAGTAAAACATGTAAACGGCCACAGCCCGTTATGCTTCATTGGACTTGATTTTGAATATTATTACTGTTTATTTAGTACAGTTACATCAATCCTCAATATTAATGAAAAGAAAGACTAACAAATAAGATTAACGTTTGTTGACTTAGGCAAGTCATATATGATTAAATGATGGATTTTTGTGTCCTAATGAGAGTTAAAGGTTTGAGTTGCTCTCTACTCTCATCTGTCTTTTACATGTTTGCACAAAACTTTGACCTATTAAAGATTAATATGTGACCTTTTGGTGCAGTTGAGCTACCACTGATTTAGACAAACTCAGAGTATTTTACAGGAATTTGGCATCAACCTTAAATTTTTACTCATCGCCATTGAAATATAAAGTCCATTAACAGGAAATTTCTTTTGTATTAAGAATGTCTATTAGAGACTTGTGGGTTCAGCAAAAAGCAAATGTGGTTTTAATTTGCATACACACGTTCTTTTTATGCCTCTGTCTTTTTGCCAAGCAATAAAATCTTTCCATTCTTTTTTTCACTGCAATATAGGCACCTGTCTCGTGATGGTGTTGCAGTGTTGTTTTGGAAAATTGAAAGCATATCAGTATAATTCCAAAGATGCCCATACGTTTTACAGTCATTACTTACTGTGGATCTTTTCATTTAAGGACAGTGATAGGGAATGACAGTATGGTCTTTGTAGCATTTCGAAATAGCTGGCTCTGGTTGTTTTTGGCCTCAAAAGCCTGGAGACAGGGCTGATTTAGGAGAGCGTAAGATAGATGAGAAACGCTGTTGCCTTTTTGACTCTGGCTTTTTAGTCTAAGGTTCAATGAAGATCTTAAGTTTCTGGTAAGAGTGGAGCTCTGATCATGTATCATAATGCCATTTTGCACATTTGCCCTGTACAACTCTATTTATCATGAAGTCTGAGTCATGATGGTTCACAAACAAGTCACTTCCAAAGCAAACTGCAATCAGGGAAGAAAAAGAGCTGATTGAAATCACAACAGCCCATTTTAATGAAATATGAAGAGCAAGGAAGAGTGATTCATAAATTCATGCGGTACATTCTTAATCTTAGAAATGTTTTTAGTCAATGATGATGTCTCTGCTTCAGAATGTGGACATTTTTGGATGTCTCCTCCTTTATGTTGCCTGAAATCCTCACTTGAGAACAATTCTCATTTGAAAATGTCCATCTGGATACACCGTATTTGTTTTTTCTCTTCATGCGACTCCTCTCCTTTCTGTTCTGTAGGAAAATGGTTCAGGGTGCCTCGACACAGTGGGAGCCGTTGTGGTAGACCTGGAAGGGAATGTAGCTGCAGCGGTGTCCAGTGGAGGCCTGGCCATGAAACATCCTGGCAGGGTTGGCCAGGTAATCATGCTCTCTTCTCCTTTATTCTCTGCCAATGTCTGTATCCACATAACGACTTCTATAAATTTTACATTTTTATGTAACTCAAGTAAATATTGAACCAGGCCTTTATTTGAGACGGCTTTAATTACAGACATTATTTCATTGTTTTCATTTTCAGTGAAATATTTTAGTACTATAATGTATAATTTCTAATTTATTATATAAACATATAGCCACAATTATTAGTGTATACTTAAGCAGCTGAAAAACAAAAAAAACAGTATTTTCCCTGCTGAAATGATCTAAAAATAAAATAAAAAGTCATTTTCAGCAAAAAAGTTCTGAATTTCAGGTATCAGCAGTTACCAAACCCAAAGGATCCCGCCTGCCCAGCACCAAACAGCAGACAGACAAAGTTTGGGACAAACTAGTGAATCACCTTAAGACTCCATTGTTAAAATCCATTTTATATTGAACTTACAGAGAATCCACATCAAAAGCAAGATGTGAGCAGCATGTTAGCGCTACGACGACGTTCAGTCTGCACTCACTCTGTAAGACTGCATCCATTCTCAGAACCAGCTGTCTGTCTGTCAGCTAAGAGGACAGCAGCCGGCCAAACTGTCTGCACCAGGCAGCAGAAATTTGATAGACAAAGATTGTTTTTATGTAGGCTCATTTATTGATTTCACTTCCTTTGTGCAGGAATCTTCCTAGATTAAAAAACCTGCTAGCTCATTGCAACATTTGCAGCTTTCATCAACCATTACAGTAATAAACTGTGATAAAAATGAGCAAGTGCCCTAGGGTGACGCACGTCTCTCAGAGTCAGTGTGGGATACATTTGATTAAATATACAGATACACTTCTTGTCTGTTCCTGTCTTTCTGTCAAAAATGCTTCAAAAACCTTTTTTCTATGTGGATCGCTCTTTAGACTCCTCAAGTGGCCACAAACACAATGCCAATGGAAAGATGATGTCCTTATTTCTTGCATATAAAACATATAATAAACCACTAACAACTTAACACTGCGATAATGTGCCAAGGCTGTGTGTTTTGAGTGTTTTTATGCCCTGTAGTGGCCCAAAATTGACTCTCAGTGTAGCTTTAGAGAGACTGAAAGCAGCAGATGAGATTTGTTAGCCGACAGCTGTTACCAAAGAAGCCCCCAAGCTTCGTGATCCTTTCTCTCTGTTTCTTCCTTTGCTGTGTTAATCTGGCATTGCTGCTGTCTGACTTCTTAATCCAGATATTGTAAATGAATGAGGTGACCTACCACAGAATTCACTCTGATCATCCTCATGCCCTGTGACCAATTGTTTAATGTTAATGCAAACTCTACAATTTCCAGTCACATTTGTGTGCAGGAAGTCTTTTACTTTGAAGCAGCTGCAGGAAGTTATGAGTTTGCATCAACAGCAGCTTAACGGGAAAACAAAACAACTTAACAATGGAGGCTGAACAGAATGAATGAATCAGTAGGATTTAGTGCCTTGACCTCATTAACACTATTACTGGTAAAAAATAACTGAAGCTCAGAGCAACAGAGTCGTGAGTATGGCATCATGTAGCTAACAATGTGGAAATGTAAATTAGGCTGAGATGACCTCACCAGCTTGCAGTGTGAGTTTTAAATTATTTTATTCAGCCGCGAGGATGCCCTACTCAAAGCTATTATTTGAGAATTAATGATGTTTTCTGTACTTCCTAAACAAACATATTAGAACTAAACAGCAGCAAAACTCTTTTGCATCTAAAATATCCACTTTTTCTGTTTTTTCTCAGGCTGCTCATTATGGATGTGGCTGTTGGGCTGAAAATGCCTGTAATATGAACCCTTACTCTACAGCAGTGAGTACCTCAGGTATACCACAGCACACTCTCTAAAACTTTCTTTGCAGTTGTGTATGTGTGTGTGTAACTTTTCTCCTCACCAGCCATGTTTACCACTAACCTGCCTTTTGTTTTGGAGATGATATGAATCAGAAACAGATATTTGATGTGAGCCTCTTATTTAGCCTCAGTGAGTCAAGCTTCAAAAAGCCTGATAATACTTTCCGATGACCTCCAACCATTCCTGCTGAGTGATTCTCATCAGTCACTTCCTCAGCTGATTGAGTCATCATTCCTCCGCTCTTTGTTAGTCAGCTGCATGCCAGGTTCATGGCAAAGCTCTTTGGATTTGCAATGACATTTGACATTGGACACCTGCTGTAGATATTATGGAGAGAGGGAGTGCAGCGGAAAGATGGTTAACTTGCAAACTTCAAGCGCAATTATCCAGATTCAGATCATAACTTTGCTGGTATAAATAAGTTTCACCTTACAAAATTCACCTTGCCTTACAATACGTATTAAGTGTAATGCTTAAAAATGAAGAATTATGCACATATGCTCTTAGGCAAATCAGCTGCCCATCAACAGTTTTTGTTAAATATGTTTATGTTTTATGGTATTTTAAAATAATTATGCTCATGGTACAGCATCACACGCAAAAGATTGATTTTATTTGGCATGTCAGTCATTAATTATACTAACGCTTTAAAACTGAAAACACAGTTTTTAAAACTAAATGTATTCATTTAATCTCCAGGCAGTTACAATTACAATTTTCATTATATAGTAAATTACTTAATACCGCTCTCACTAACAATTAAAATATCTCCATGTATATTAAGTACAATACATGTAGCAAGCACATAATTCAGATCTTCCACACTGTCTCTTGTTATTTGTAAACACTCTCTGACACTCACCTCACTACCCCCCAAGCTCTTCCACCCCCACCACCCCCTCCTCAGACACTTTGTGCCATGGTAGTGATTTATGGTCGTCACCTGTCAAATACTGTTTGTCCTTCTCCCTTTCTTTCTGCGGTGTCTGCAGTATCAGCTTCGGGGGGTGGAGTTGGAGCAAGTAGGCTGTAGCTTTCTCTTCATGCAGAGGTGGAAGGCTGAGCTACTCCAGCTGGCAGTCTTGTTGGGTTTGACAGTCTGTTAAACCTTGGCAATCATTTATCTTAGGAAGTAAGAGCTATTTAGACAGCTCTGGCTACCTTGGATGCTACCATATAACATTTAAAATATACACCGATCAGCTATAACATTATGACTGGTGAAGTGAATAGCACTGATTATCTTGTTATCATGGCACCTGTCAGTTAGTGGGACATATCAGGCAGCAAGTGAACATTTTGTCCTCAGGTTGATGTGTTAGAAGCAGAAAAAATGGGCAGCATAAGGATTTGAGCGACTTTGACAAGGGCCAGATTGTGATGGCTAAACCACTGGGTCAGACCATCTCCAAAACTGCAGCTCTTAAGGGGTGTTCCCAGTCTGTGGTGTTCAGTACCTATCAAAAGTGTTCCAAGGAAGGAACTGGAGGCAGGGTCTTGGGCGGCCGAGGCTCATTGATGCACGTAGGGAGTGAAGGCTCGCCCGTGTGGTCCGACTACTGTAGCTGTAGCTACTGTAGCTTAAACTGCTGAAAAAGTTAATGCTTGTTCTGATAGAACAGTATCAGAACACACCGTGCATCACAGTTTGTTGTGCAGCACTCCAGCATTCTGACCACCCAGAATGTTGATGATCAGAATGTTATGGCTGATCGATATATTAATTAACAATCTACTTTGTGTCTCCACATTTCTCACTCTAACAGGTCTATCTTTATATCAGTGCTAACATCCAGGAGAGTTGTTGATTACTTTGACAGTTAAAAAAGGAATAACTATTTCATAAATAACTGCATGATTCAGTCATCCACCATAGTGGTGTTTGTGGTCTATCAGGTCTTTTGCTATTCCTGAGTTATCAGTGGATCATTGCTTCTTCCAAATATACCAAATACTTTATTAACAGACACCAGACAGACAGACCAAACATTTTGCCCATGTCTATGATCTGATGTTTGGATCCTTAATATAGTTGATGCAACTGTATTGACTATATTTCCTTTACATTCATGTTGACAGTAGCAAGTATCACTCTGAAATGTATCCAAAAATTCACCATAAATGCATGAAATGAAGTCAAGATCTCATGGCAGAGGACCTCCAGACCCCCCGACCTCCTGCTTGGTTTGACTTTCCCCCGGGCATGTGGCTGCTGGTAAGGTGACAGTGAAGCTGACAACCCTAGCTACTGTAAAACTGAGAATGGACAGGTCTCTGGAAAATACATTTTGAAGTCAACTGTGAATACTGACTAATGTGCCGTTTTAGGATAACTCAGGAAAAAGTGCAGTGTTTTGGGGTGTTGTGTGTGTCAAGTTTGCCTCAGCCCACCCTGGTTAATGGTCAGTGCCTACTGTAATGGGCTTACACTCATATATCGTGTATGGTGTACTGTCTGCTAGATCCTTGTCAATGTGGTGGAAAAAGCTGTAATTATTTTCATTTTCAGCTCGCTATAAATGTGTGTTGGTAAAATATGATTACAGGGTTGAGATCCTCTGTCTACCTAAACCACAGCTTATAGAGAAAATGTTTCTTTCCTTAAGAGCTACAGTTAAATGTCAACCTGTGGCTGTGTATTTAACTCCTTGCGGTGTTGTAGTAGTTGTGTTTAGGCTGCTTACATAGTGTAATGTATCTTCTTTGCCAGGAACCTGAACCTGTTATATACAGTGCATACGGAAAGTATTCACAGCACTT